TTTTTTTTTTTGCTTTTTGTTGTTGTCTTTGAATTAGCTTCCTATGCATTAATGTTTAATTATAAGATCTGCAGAATCATTTAGTAATTACTTCTATTTGTTGTCAGGTCAGACATGTAGTCTGCTACTGGTAACATTGTAACCCAGTACAACCTGCCTCATGGACGTGTCGTCGGCGTCTAAACCGGCACCCCCACCAGTCTACACTGGTGAGGAGGGTGGCATGACACCCAGCAGGACTAAATACAAGACCTGTCAAAGCGCGAATGAGCTTGGTAAGCCACCGGGCATCATGCAAAAAACATTTGACTTGTTTATTGTGATGTAATCTGGTTGTTGTGCTTTGTTGTGTCAATGCCCCCCCTCCCCCCCAAAAAAAAATCTAAAGTAGTGTTTTGTTTATGACTTCAATACTATATTTTCATGTTTTCCAATTTGATATTTTTTTTTTATTGGTATGAGCCTACAAATATAGTCCAGCGCCGTTGCGTGTGAGGATATCAACACGTGACACCTCTTTAATGAGATGATGTTTTGCTTTGGTTACAACGAGTGCGTACAGCAATGAATATACTGCTTTTAASTTCATCTTTAAGCCTGTTGTGGCACTTAAACGTTGCTACGATAATCGACGTTTCACGGAGCAYGAAGGGAGACATCRTAACWWGTGACAGATGTACAATGAATGGCTGTAGAGGAATTGGCGGTGACTGTATMGATGGAAAGCGATGTCAGTGTAAACAGGATCTATCTACCTACGTACGGCACGTAAATAGATGTATCCCAAACAGCAATTTAACAAAGACGCTTTTTCGAGATAAAGGTTTGTGGCTTGCTTACTGCAAATATCTTGGCTACATASACATAAGTTTAGTACTATAATTGTAATTCATGATCAATTTAACTGCCCGGAGAGTTGCCAAAACTAAACTGACCAGTGACATTCCTCTTCTCAAAACTGAAACGATTTGCTTTCTACGCTAAAAACTGTGACGGCTAATTTGACTACATCTCTTTCATTTTTTTAAAAAGTAATTCAATTAATAAATGTCAAAAAGTGGCAACTTTWTATTTTAAATCACATTTCGTGGTTTAAGTGTTTCACCTCTTGTCATATTATAGAATGACACATCTGGCAGTCTAAGAGTGCTATTTTGATGGAAACACGTTTTCCTGTTGTGATAAAGCTCCAGCAATGTTTTGTTATTAAATCACTGCTATGATATAATGACTTGGTAATTAAAACATATCGTGATACGAGTCCTTAAATCAACTCAGGTCAATCACAGCTCTACTGCTTACGTCACTGAGGGCTGTATATGGATTCCTCACATAAATCTATATACCAAAATGGAATCTTGTCACAGTCTTAATTTGTCCTTAATTCCCTTAATGATAATGGAGAATATAAAACAATATACCGGTACAAGGACATGTTCGGTCGTATTGAGGTGGTATTGTATACTTTAACTAAAAAACAACAAACTCGGTTGATTAATGCAGGACTAGAGTTAAAGTATATTGTGTTTCAGCACAGTTTGGTACTTATTATAACAATTATTAGACTTTTAACAGGGGCAATCAGTATTATATGCTTAATGCTGGACGTCATTCAAACCGATGTCTAGACTCGTAGGAAGGCGCTCAAACCACACTAATTCGATCAAGGTCGTATAAGAATACGATGAACTTGTTCATAACAAATGGTTATCATCATCATCATCATCTTTTAATCATCCCTCATTGTAAATAACATAGTTTAAACAACGCGGCCACAATCCAATACAAATTGTAACATTGTTTAATTTTGCCCATAACTGGAGACGCCTGTAACATAGATAATGAAGTGATTTTCGATCCAACGTATTTCCCTTTGAAAACTCACTACAGACAATAGGGATCTCAATGCATGTTAGGACATAGGCTTCTGTT